GGGTGAGAGACCCCAAAAAATGGGAATTTCGGGAAAAAATGGGAATTCTGAGAAAATTCCCGAAAATTTGGGCGTTCTGGGGAAAAAAACGGGGTGAAAATCGCGCTAAAAATGGGAATTTTGCGGGGTTTTTTGTCTTAAAAAATGGGAATTTTGGGATAAATGTGACCCCAAAAAATGGGAATTCGGGAAAATTTGGGGAAAAATGGGAAAATTTGGGATTTGGGAAAAAAATCCTGAAAAAAAAGGGATTTACGGGAAAAAATGGGGTGAAAATGGGGCTAAAAATGGGAATTTTGGGTTTTAATTCCTCCAAAAATTGGGAATTTTGGGGTCGAATTCCACCTAAAAATGGGAATTTTGGGATTTAATTCCACCAAAAAAATGGGAAATTTGGGGTCGAATTCCTCCCAAAAATTGGGAATTTTGGGATTTAATTCTTTCTTAAAAATGGGAATTTTGGGATTTAATTCCACCAAAAAAATGGAATTTTTTTGTTTAATTCCTACTAAAATTGGGAATTTGGGGGTTGAAATTTTGGGATTTTCAGGGATTTTTTGGGATTTTTTCTTTCCAGAGGTGAAAATTCCATTGGAATTGGAGCTGAGCCCCTCCTGCAACTGCTCCTGGGGTGAGAATTGGGGGAAAATTTGGGAATTTTGGGGAATTTTGGGAATTTTGGGTATTTTGGGAATTTTGGGAATTTGGGGGGGGATTTTGAGGATTTTTTAGGGATTTTTTTTATTTTTATGGTGATTTTTGGGGGAATTTTGGGGAATTTTTGAGGATTTTATTTTTTATTTGGGGAATTTCGGGGGAGTTGGAGGAGTTTGGGGATTTTTTGGGATTTGGGGAGAATTTTGGGAATTTGGGGAATTTGGGCAGATTTTTGGGGATTTGGGGAGGGAATTTTGGGGGATTTTAGGGAAATTTGGGTCGCTGGGAGGGCACTGCTTTATACTCGTCCAGTTTAACTGGTTTAAACTGGTCTGAACTGGTTTAAACTGGTTTATGCTGGTCCAAACTGGTTTAAACTAGTCCCTACTGGTCCGTACTGGTTTAAACCAGTTTAAACTGGTTTATACTTGTTTAAACTGGTCCATACTGGTTTAAACTGGTCCAAACTGGTTTAAACTGGTCCATACTGGTTTAAACTGGTCCAAACTGTTTTAAACCGGTCCATACTGGTTTAAACTGGTTTAAACTGGTCCATACTGGTTTATGCTGGTTTAAACCGGTTTAAACTGGTCTGTACTGGTTTAAACCGGTTTATACTGGTCCATACTGGTTTATACTGGTTTAAACCTGTTTATACTGGTTTAAATTGGTCTGTACTGCTCCATACTGGTTTGAACCGGTCCGTACTGGTTTATACTGGTACATTTTGGTCTATACTGGTCTATACTGGTTTAAACCAGTTTAAACTGGTCCGTACTGGTCTGTACTGGTCGATACTGGTCTATACTGGTTTAAACTGGTCCAAACTAGTCCGTACCGGTTTAAACTGGTCCGTACTGGTTTATACTGGTACATTTTGGTCTATACTGGTTTACACTGGTTTAAACCGGTCTATACTGGTCCAAACTGGTCCAAACTGGTTTAAACTGGTCCATACTGGTTGATTTCCAGTGGAGGAGGAGCTGCAGGAGCTGCAGGAGGAGCTGGAGCAGCATCGGCTGCAGCTGCGCGGCTTCACCGGTAACACCCAAAAA